CAGAAACTTTACTTAACAGCATTACAGAAAGAGATATTTCAGCATAAGAAACTTGTCATCTTATTCTTAATTTTTTATTATATCATTCTAGTCAAACATTTGTTATTTTAAATTTTAGTGAAAAAACTTAAAAGTGGATTTGCAGAACTAATATTAATAAAAATAACAATAATTTGAGTTATATAAAAAATGTTAAACATATAATATAATCATATCTAAAAGAATACTAGAATCAATCTGCTGAATTTAAAAATTTTTTACTTTTTAAGTTTTACTTAACACACAAAAATAATCAAAGATATATGGAAAAAATATAAGAAAGAGAATATCATATATATATGGTTAAGATCATCTTTCTTACAGAACAGAGAACAGTGAAAGGAATCTGTAATAAAAGTTTTACTTTATATTATGCATCAAAATATTAATCAACTAAAAGATAACAGCAATATCTTATGATCAACAGTTTATAGTCATATTGATATGATAAACAGTGACCTGATAGATTTGCTTTGAATAACCAATAGATAATAAAATATTATTAACAATAAAGAAAGCATAGACAAAATGATAGATGAAGAAAAGCTTAAGGAATTTTGATATAATTGGATATTTTTTGTAAAGATAGAATCTAATACAAGAATTATTAATGCAATTAAATTAGAAATTAGAAATATAGATTGAAATTATAATTAAATAAATAATACATAACTAAATTATTCTTTTAATAATATAGTAAATATATGTGAATTTTTGTATTAAGTTTTAATAAATGATGAAAAAGAAAGAGAAAAAAATAACAATGTTAATTCATAAAAGCTTAACAAAAATCAGAGAAAAATTTTTAACCAAATAGAAATACATTATTAAAATGTGTTTTTAAAATCAGGTTGAACTCTTGAAAATAATAATAATAAATATTACAGATATGAGTAAATCTTATCTAATTAAGTTAATATGAAAGTAACTTAATATAATGGTAGAAAATAAATCAAATATATTAGTACAGGTAATCACATGTACAGGTGTCATCATATTTAATATAAACAGATCAATGATTTATTCAACATTATTTGTATATATTAATAATAAATCTGAAATCAAATTAGAAGGTATTAGGTTGAAAAAATTACAAGAATAACTACAGAATATACTTTATCTTATTATTGACAAGAAAGATATAATAGGACATAAAATGCTTGCAATAATCGACTTGAGGTTAAGATAAGCTTTTTTAAAAATAAAAATTAAGTGTTTAGAAGATGATCAATATTATTATTCAATGACTTTAGCTAACTCCTACCAGTCCTCAATTTTCCTATATATGCATAAAATATATCAAAAGATATAAGAACAAATAATGGCACAGTAACATATAAAGAATTCAGAGAGGTATACAAACTTGAGATAGTATAGAGATAATCAGAAGAAAGTAAAAAACAACAAGCATTTTAAAATATATATTTAAAATTACATAAAGAAGATAGTAGTCTAAAATATTGGTAAAGACTGTATAATTAATTTAACGTAAATTTAAATTAAGCAAAATATGATTAATTTTAGACACTATTTTAATACTTATAATATAGAATGATGTAGATAGAATTAACACAAAAATGCTCTGATCTTTGAATTATTTAGTAATTAAGATAGTAGTAAAACACACAATGAATATGAAGCAAAAAAGCTAAATCAAACATAGTATAGAAACTTGAAGTTAAACTGCTATTAGCAAAAGGATCTAAAGTAATATTAATATCAAATTTATGGAAAGTAGGATTAGTAAATAGAGTAATAGAAATAATACAAGACATTCTATTTGAGGAAAAAGTATAAATTTCACTTTCTGTAGTAGTTTTCGTAAAATTTAATATATATAAAAGAGATATTATCACAAATTTAGAGAGCATTAAAGTGATTCTGATCATACCTATAAAATAATCTTAAGAAGGCAAGAATAAGACAACATATTCAAGAATACAACTTCTTTTATATCTCGTTTAGGGTATTATGATATATAAAAGCTAAAGGCTTATATTATCAAGGCAAAAATAGATATAGAAAATACTGAATTTACTGTTAGTCTTTTATTAATAGCTCTGTTACAAGTTTGCTTATTTAATGATCTCTACTTTAGACATTTCACCTTTGATAGGCTTCAATATATCAAGAACAGTAAACTATTATAAAAAAGAAAAAATAAAGAAAAGTGTTTATATAACTTAATATTATAAGAACAAAATAGTAAAAAAAATAATATATCAAAAAAGGCATTTTATAATATTAAGGTATAAGAATAATTACATAGCCACATATAATAATTATACTTAGGCTGTGAAATAATTTGCAACAGCAAAAGTTTAATTATCTAAACTGGATAATTATAATGTAACTTTATAGGCAATTGCTGATAATTTTACAGTTACTATGAGCAATGCAATGATTGGTAGATTTTGTCACAAAGTGGCAAAATATTTATCATGCATTACTTACTGCAAACTGTGAAGTAATTTCTAATAAATCGTAAAGTTACTATTAATAGTTATTATAACTAAAAATATCTATTTAATTTTTACATAATTTGTTTTATATTACAAAGTTCATGAATATAAAAATAAATTAAAATACATAAAAATAAAAATATAAAATAAAAATAAAAAGGCACTTTAATATTTCTGTTTAATTTGAACATATACAATTGCTTATTTAGAAAGAATAATACAGAAAATTATAAATAAACAAATAAATAAATAAATATGTCAACTTGAGTAATAAGCGAGCGAATAAACAAATACTAGTTACAAATATATATAGTCTTTTGCTTATACTTTAGACTAATCACTTTAACGCACTTTCAAAATTTAAATACATTATTACCAAATTGATTAAAATTTTATCATCAAATAGTTTAATTTTCTGATTATAATTTTCAAAATCCAATAATAATCATATTGATTTTTTTTGAAATCATGCTTTATAATAATATATTATATAATATTCTAATGTAGTAAATGATAAATTTCTATCCTAGGATTAAAATATATAAGCTTATACTTTAGATGAAATATATTGTAAAAGAAAGTAATAATAACAATTATTTCCATTAATTTTAACATTTTTCTAATTAATATATTATTTTTTCTTTTAATTCATCATCTGAAATTTGATCCTAAAACTGAATAAAGTTTTCTAAAGCATAAAGTAATTCAAAAAGATAAGCTTATTACTTTGAAGTTTATTTAAAGTTCTATAGTATGATAATAAAATTTTTGTAAAGGTTTTATTGTATTCTACTAATTTTAATTAAAAAGAATTCCATAAATACTTTTGTTTAAATAGATTTTATATTTTGTTATTAAGGAACTTGCTTTTACTAAAAGATATTTATATTGAATTACTAAATTCTAAAATAAAATTAATAAGTAAATAAATTAATTAAATAATATATAATTTTAAATTTATACTTACTTATAAAGCCTACTTAAATTAAACTAAATTTTAAAAATAAAAGTAATAACTATTTAATTAATTTTGTCTGAAATTATAATTAAATAATATTTATTATATAACTCCTTCTGTATATCTTGTAATTTACTAATAAAATAGCTATTATTTTCATTTTTAAAGTATATTATCACTGTAATTGCTTTAATTGATACATCTTTTAAAATAAAAGATTTTTTAAAGATATCACAGATTGCTAACTAATATTGATGTGTAAAGCAAGGCAAAAATGTAATGTAAGATTATTTTAAATGAAGTCATTATTTATAATAATATAAAAATTAATTTTAAATAATTAAAAAATAAATAAATAAATGTAATAGATTAATTTTACTGAGTTTCTGCATAAGCTACAACACTATTAGAAATTATAGCAATTATTTTTGCATTTAAATCATTAGCACTTTTAATTAAATTCTCAATTTTAGATATTACTTCAATCATACGTTCTCTTTCATTACTAATATCTAATGCTTTTTATATTAAAATTTTACTTAAAGAAATAATAAACAATGATTTAAATATATGTTTATTTAAAATATTTTTCCATTTATTAAATACTAATATCATACTAACTCTATTATTATTTAACTTCTTATTTCGTAATAAATCTATACTTATTGTTTTACTATTTAATATATGATTTAATAAAGTTTTTTGTCCTGGTAAAGTTAAATTTGGATTTAAAAATTCAAATAATTCTAATGTTGTTAAAACCCATTTGATATAGTTATTCTTAATAAAAGACGTTTAAATATAGGTTATTCTTTTTTGTAGAAGTTTGAACAATAATATTTTTATTATATTATTACTGATTTTAACTAGATAAAGGTAATGTTTAGATGATACTGTTAATATTGATGTTGAAGTAAAAGATCAAATTAAAGATACTTTTGTTTCTGAAAAATTAAGAAATATAATATCAAAATTATTTTGCATAGATTCTAAGTATTTGAATACTTTTTCTTTTCTAATCTTACCAGAATCTAAATCAACTTTTAAGCATTTTTACTTTGCAATTTTATCATTTTCATTATTGTTAAATTTATAATACCATCTACTTCTTTTTGATAAATAATTTTTTCTAGAAAGTATATACAATTTTTTAAATGATTTTTTACTTGTAATTTTTTATTTGTAAATATATGCTTTAAAAGTTCACCTTCTTTTAAATTTTCTGAACATGTAAAACAAACAGTTAAGTTATTCCAATTATTTTGTTTATTAATAACTTTAATATATTGTATTAAACAATACTTTTTGAGCTTATTTTTTCTTTTATACTCATTATAATGGATAAATACAAAAATAAAAATTTTTAATAAAATATTTAAAAATTCTTGTAAAAGATTTTTTAAAGTTATATAAGATTTAAGATTATCTATGATTGATTATCTATGATTAAAAATAGTATTAGAAGTATTAGAAGCTGTATTGGAATCTTCCAATAACCAATTCCAATAGTACAAAAATTTGATTGAAAGCTTCCAATGCACATGACTTATTGGAAGATCGAAATCCTTCCAATTCTTCCAAAATTTCCAATAGGTCTTCCAATTCCAATGAAGCACATAATGCACATCACTGAGTCTAATGGATCCCAATCGTCTACAAAAGTTTGAGTAAAGTAATCAAACCCGTCCTTTTTAAAAGAAGTAAATTTGTATTCAAAACGCGACAACATATAGTGGTTACACGATTAAATGTCACATGAAATCAGTCAGATTTTAACAAATTTGTCATAATGGAATGCTGATCGGGACGTTTCCAAACATGGGGACCGCGTTCGATCCCGATTTTTTGGCCAGAATTACGGAATTAAGTGATAGTCCCGGTGACAAATGATATGTGACAAATAAGGAATCACATACCGAAAAATTTCCAACTAAAAACAGAAGTGTGACATTGGGTGCGCGGTCAGCTATGTAAATCAAAAGTTACTAATTGAAATTTTTTTATTAAAAATTTTAATTTTACAATAATGCAAATATATATAATACGATAATATTTTATTAATTTTTAAATGATAATGCAAATAAATTTAGCAAAGCAATTATTTAAAAAGCTTTGATGGCCCAAATAGCTGAGATTGTATTTCCTAAAGTGAACTTCTTAACTCGTTTATTTGTTTTCGCACTTTCTTTAATTTTTCCAAATTTTCTTTTGAAATTTTATCTGATGACAAACGAAGTTTTGACTATTTTATTTGTGATGTCATGTTTGCATATGTGTTCAAATCCAATTTGTTGAAGAGTCCCTTGACTTGCTGCTAGTAGATAACAATGTAATAGATGTTGCTTTTGATGAAATCATAAAGGGAAAAATATATTTTGGATCATTGCAAATGCAGAATTATGTAAATTTTTCGAGGAAATTGCCATTTTGGTACAGCAATTCGCTCAAACCAAAAGTTATTTGTTATTCCATTATCTTTAAATCCTGAACAAATCGTAATTCTAAATCAGAAGGTGGAGAAATCTAAAGCTTTTCAAGTGTCACATGATAAAGCTATATGCGCATTATTCCCACCAATTCGGCAAGGTCACCATTTTTGAAAAGATTCCAAAGCAATTTTAATTCCAAGTTTCAAACTCTTCATCAGATAACAATCCACAACCTCTAAAAGCTGATCAGATAAACCATATCAAAGTTGCTGGTAAGGTTTTGGAGAAATTCATTCAACTTGTAAAAATCTTTGTGTTATGCAAAGTATTTAGTAGGCACGTATTTTTATTAATTTTGATGTCTTAATTTTTTACCAATAAGATTTATGAAATAATGTATAATATACTATGAAAACTATTACATAGACAAATCCAATGAAATCTTTGATACAGTATATTAAAACATGAAACCCTTTTTTCATTAACATCAAACATTTTGATCTCTCATTAATTTCTTATTTTTTAAAAAAAAAAAAAAAATTACGCGCTAATGTACATAATGAACATTGTACCCAAATTATTGATTATTTCTACCAATCATTTATTGACAACGGAGGTTTCTACTTTTTTTGAACTTGTGGGATCTCGAGTTCCCCACTCCTTTTTATTTTAAGTTCATCCACTAAATTAAAAATTTTCACATATTTTAATACTGGTGAACAAAATAATTTTTTATCCCAAAACTTATTTTTGTAAAAAAAACTTTTTGAAAATGAGACAAAATATAATAATCTTGTTTTTCATTGTTATTGTTTGCTTGACAAGTCTTTTTGTTGATGCTAAGGAACCTCCAAAGAATTTGCAAGTTGGTAAGTACGCTTTACTTTATCTTGTCGTACAGTGCATTTCATGTATGGTGTATTAACGTTTTTTTATCTTATACACTCATGATATAAGGTATTAAGAATCGTATTCCCGATGGGATATGTCGTAAAAGAACTAAGAATGGGTAAATTAAAATTCAAATCAATTTCGTTAAAATCCGAGTTCCGCTGAATTCTTTATGACGATATTTTCTTTAGGGATTCGATATCTGTTCACTACACAGGAACATTATTCGAAAATGGTAAAGAATTTGATTCTAGTATTCCCCGTGGTACACCTTTTACATTCACCTTAGGTGGCAATCAAGTTATTAAAGGTTCGTTTGGATCCTAATCAAAAATGTCATATTTCGTTTTTTTTAAATTTTTATATTGACTTATTCATTTTACAATGTAGGTTGGGATCAAGGTTTGCATGGGTAAGTCTTATATGATTCATTAGTTTCAATATTATTTGATTACTTTTCAACACGTCTTATTAAACTTTCCATCAAATCCCAAAGCATGTGTATTGGAGAAAAGCGCAAATTAATTATCCCCTCTGATTTGGGTTATGGTCCAAGAGGCAATCCGCCACTCATTCCCGGTAATTAATTGTTAGAACAATTTATCTAATGTTTGAAATTTTAAAGATTTTTATAACTTACATTCTTTTTTTTTGTTAAAAAAAATGATAATTTAGCAAATGCTGCTCTTGTATTCGATGTTGAATTGGTTGGAATCGGAAAAAATAGATACGAGCTTTAATTGATTGTAATATTACAATTAATTGTTTTTTTTTGTTTTTAAGTCAATTATTACCTAATAATTTGTAATCAAAGTAGAAATCATAGATAATTTTGTTTACGAATTTAATGAATATTTATTTAATAAAAAAAATTTCGTGAATCGTATTTCTAAAGTGACCTACCTAATCATTAAAAATGTTGGTCTATAATGAATATAAATTAACCAATGAAAATTTCGTCAAATCAAATTCATTTTTGATCATCATATATATAAAAAAAAAAAAAAAAAAATCAAAAAAAATTATTTGAATTTCTTTTTTTCATCATTAATAAGGAAAGCCCATCTTCACAAAAATGATTATCTACAAAGACGCCTTTAGCGGTATGAATTTTGAAGAAAATAAAAATTAAGGGAAAAAATTAAAATTTTATTTTATTTTCTTAGGTGACGAATTTGTTTCTGATGCTTACCCTATGAAATTGGTTGGCGACGTTGCCTTTGAAGTTGACTGTCAGGTTGCAAATTTTTTCTATTGATTTTAGAAATTTCATTATAAATTTTAAAAATGTATTTAATCTAAAGTAAGGATTTTGACATTTTTCATGTAAAAGCTTGTAACAGTTAAGGAAGGAGCTGATGTTGACATTGGAGCAAATCCCTCAGCTGAAGAGAGCGAAGAAGCTCTCGAAGAGGGCTCCGTAAAAGTTAATAATGTAATTCACGCTTTTCGTCTTCAAGAAACTTCTTTTGATAAGAAAGCCTTTCAAACCTATCTTAAGAGTTATTTGAAAAAACTTACTGAACATGTTAAAAAGGAAAATCCAGAAATAGATGTAAAAGAATGGCAAGGGAAAATTAGCACTTTCTCTAAAAAAATCTTTGATAATTTCAAAGGTAACATTTAGGATTAAAAATATAAAGATAAAAAAAATTTTTTTTTTCTGTGAAAAAGTAGAATAATAATCGAAACTTTTCAATTTTTTTTTTTTTTTTAAAAAAAAAAAATATCAAATAGATTATCAGTTCTATACTGGTGAAAGCTTTAGTCAAGATGGTATGATCGCATTATTGAATTATCGCGAGGACGGGATTACACCGTATATCACATTGTTCAAAGATGGCCTGAAAGAAGAGAAAGTGGTATGTATATATTATAAATATTTTAAAAAGCTCATATTATAATTCTTAACACTAATAATAATCATTATTTTATAGTGATTGAAACCTCAATAATCATAGATTATCATAACAATTTATTTTATCATATTATTAAAAAAAAAAAAAAAAGAAAATTTGCTTAGAATTTAATTATTTGAATAGGTTATACTTTTTTTAACCATTTAAGTCGCGAGTGAAAAAAAGTCTCTAGTGAATTAAATAATTTCATTACAAATAGAATGTAATCAGATTTTTTTCTTTAAATTATTACGCGAGGATTTAGCAACTTCTTTTTGAAATTTGTATAAATTTGTATAAGTTACAAAAATAATTGCTCTTAATAATTTATCTACCAAGACTGTCAGTGCTAATTAAACCACATGTGACTTATAGTTGAATGTTAAAAGTTCTCAAGTTCATCTTGTATGAATATATTAAATTGAAAGTAAACAAAATCGTTTGCGAAGATTAATAATTTATTCAAATTGTAGTACCATTGACGCGACAAACTCTGAAAACTCGTTCAAAGTGTTGAAAAAAAAAAAAGAAAGTGCACCGTTACAAAATTCTAATTTCAACAATTTCAACAATCAATTATCCTAGAATTCGATGGTTTGGATGTGCCTCGATTGATTTATTCCGTCCTAATAAAAAACCTCAAGTTAAATGAATTTCATATCATGAAACGTAACAATACACGCGTTACCTTCATTTGAGGATGCCGCAGAATCATTCGATGTCATGTTGACGCATTTACTTAGAGCATGCTCCATTGTTGTAATTCGCTCATTAAGCATCAAAATCATGTCTTTAAGCTTTCACCATTTTCATGTTAAAATCAATAAATTAGCCCATTGTGACGCGTAAATTTTATGAGTTTCTTATTAAAGATTATACCTTATTTATTGATATTTGTTGCATCCTAGCACTCGGTAAAGTATGAGTATCTGACGGCGTGGATTTTGGATCAATAAAATCTCCAAGTTGATATCTAGTGAAATCAATGAATTAACGAAATTTTCTTGGCCACGTTAAATTTATTAAAATTAATTACTTACATCATTACGCGATCTAGATTTAACGAGTACAAATCACTTTATAGAAGCAAATCGAATTTCCGCACATAAGCAATTTATTGAATTAAAATGTGAGAATATATATAATATTTAATACCGAATATAATCCAATTTACGTGGCGTTGTGCGCCATACTTTCCCGAGTGTCGAATTACAACCAATGCAATATATCAAAATGTATGTACTATGTAATCGAGATGGAAAATGAGTCATCGTCTTATCAAATTGAAAGATTCATTATTCCATTCATATTTACCTTCCAACATCAATGCCTTCTCTTGACCATAATAGATCAGTACCAAGCCTAAGATTGTGGGGTTTTGCTGAAATTCATATTTAAGGTCGACAATAAAAAAAACTGATAAATAATCGAGTTACAAAATTAAACACGTAAAGAAGTTTTAAATCTACTAACCATATAACACGACTGAATTCAATTCACGATCTGCTGTAACAAATGCAAACGAATCTCCCACAATCAACCGACATTTCAAACACTGAAAAACCAAAGGGCCAGTGATTTCCTGCAAGACGCGGTTATGTTGGGGCGGCGACTTGGCAGCGTTTTGTTTGCTTGACTGGTCCTATTAAAAATTAAAAATATGTTCTAATCTAAAAGATATTATAAGCTAACTAATTTGAAGTGAAATTTACCATTCTTATGACAAATTCGTTTCTTTTTTTTTGCTACGGATATATATTTTTTTAGTGATAAAATTCATCGATACCTTTTCGCGTTGCGGCATGTGACTATCACAGTCACTGGTCATTTCCGGAATCAGGGGGGTCAAATGGATTTACTAATTAAATATGCAGCTTGTCGATCACTTTTT